TTTTGAGGTACGGAACCCTAAAAAGAAGTCCACTATAAGCTTTACTATATTCCTTGAAATCGTTTATAAACATTTATTACAAAATATTTCTGACAAGTAAATGAAGAAATATGCGTTGTGTACGGTCACCATCAACAAAATAACAGGAATAATATAGCACTATTTTCACATCTTTGAACTGATTTAACTCGGTTTGGACTGTGTTTTTGATATAAGACCCCATATATTTTTTTGTTTGTAATGTTATTCTGCATCAGTTTTTACACATCCAATAAACTGCCGCGAAAAATAAAAAGGCACCACGCTCCATACAAATTTGGTCATTGTCATTTAGGGTATTATTACATAAAACAAAACTGTTACAAATAAACTTTTCTGGATTTGTTATGGGCAAATTTAGCGATTACACTTTCAATATCGACTTCTTTAAGCAAGTCATGCTCTATATTCAACATTGTGAAATGATTAAGACGTCCTTGGCCCATAGTGTTCCTTAATTAATTCATTTTTGATTCGTTCAAATCGGGCTCGGTTCGCCCGCCAATGGCACCAACCAAGCGAACAAATAGTCACTTTCCTTTTCTTACACATACAAAATACCGACTATTTGTCTTTTTTCGTTAATTTCGTTAAGAAAAAAAATCAAATTACATGTAGGTTGGTAGTAGTTTTGTAAACAAAACATTTTCTTTATAAGTCTTGCTGTTGAAGTGGTGTTATTACGAAATACCTATTTGAGCGCGGGGCCCCCCAATCCGCGGGGCCCGTAGCATTTGCTACTCTTGCTACGTGGCTAATCCGGCACTGCCAACGATCCTCAAACTCGTAATCCCCAAAAAGCCGGTAACGCACTTTTAACGCCTCTGGTGTTTCAGGTGTCCATGGGCGACGCCGATTGCTTACCATCAGGTGATCCTTCTGCTCGTTTACCGGCCTATGGCAAAAAAAAATGTTAAACCTAAAAATCAGTACTCAAATCATCAATTGATCGTAAAATTATCCATTGTTAGCCTTATTGGAGTTGGAAATCAGGCATAAATCAGGCACAATACATTTGCAAATTGAACACAATTGCTGTCAGCAACACAAGCACATAGGGCATGACAGAAGAGATTTGTACGAGTGAAATACTAATTTCTGTCTAATCTGTAATTGTATTTTATTTTCATAAAGCAGATCTTTTAGAGTTATAATATCACATAACACCGGAAAATAACAAGTTATATAAATTTCCTAGGAAAATAGTACACTTTTGTCCTAAAGAATCCTACGTAAGTTTATAATATTCCTACGTAATTTATAAACTTACGTAGCTTGTTATTTTGAATGTACATAATATTATGTTCTACCTTGCTGTTTCAGTTGAATATTTTTTTTAATAAAATGAAAATACATTCACACTACAAACAAACGTGTATTCAGTAATTTTACAATCAAAAATTCCAAATGTAATGCTCAAAAAACCTTATTCGATTAGAAAACTATTCAAAAAACAAATCTACAAAGGTATATCAAAACTAAAATTAACTAATAGCACCGTAAAACTATACATCAAATAATGCCCCATTCTATGTAATCTTCAATAATTCCTTGAATCCTGCTTTTATACCTTTTATCAACATTAAAACTTAAATTATTCATATCACGGTCATCTTTGGTCAAATCAGGCACATCATCTTCGGAAGCAAATACAAAAGGCAAAAATATGAAAGACATTACTAGCCCACTCTCCAGTCTTGCATCGTAATCTTTCTCAAAAACTTCCCTTGAATAAAATTCGTTGATGTCGAGATCAAAGTGTTCCAAAAATCTTGTCATTGTTTCATGGTATACATTTTTCAAATGTAGTAGGTGAGTTTTTCGGAATTCCTTGTCAGTACAGCACATGATGAAATATAGGAAGTCCACTGCAGGACATCCATAGTAGGTACATCATTTGATAGTCGACTGGTATTAGCTCTGATATCTTACCATCCTGTTAAAAAATTGATGTATTAATACTTATGATAGAAAGTTTTACTTAATATTTGATTGTATTATAGTTACTGGTTTTAGTTTGTGTGTCTTTTTTTTAAGGGGGGAAAATCATCGAATCATTGCTCCCGCCTGGGTGAGGCAGGTGGGAGTGTCAGACTCTTACTGACTAAAAACCACCCCGTTCCTTGTCCTGCACGTCAAGCCGGAGCCCCGGTTACCCGTTAGGATCTCCGCGACTCCGAATCGGCATCGGCCCTATTGGGCCCCATCTGTGGTGGTCTGATGGCTCTTTGGGGCGCGCGTGGAACGCGACGCGTCGTACGCTCGGGTCTGTTTCTGGTCGGCCGGGGAGCCATCCATGCTCGCCGTCCGTAGTTTGTGAGTCTAAGTAAATCAGTTGTTCTAATAATGTTATAATAAATATTTCTTTAAGAAATTCTCAATTAAATAATAATATGTATGATATGACAAAGATAAGGTAATAACCACACGTACATATGTGTACTCAACTTGGTTTAAGTATACATAATAATCGTTATGTTTTTCTTATTTTCTTATCTTGCATTAATTATGTACGTATACATTAAAAATAGTAAAAACATGGACGTTATCAGAAACGTTTATACATTTTCGGTGTTGTATAGGATATTAAACACACGTAACCTAATTATTTTATTCGTACCATATTTAGAGATGGCCGCTTATCGAACCACAGATGATGTCAGATTTTGTGTTTTAGCGAGATTTTTGAAACCAAAAACCAAATACAACGATGACACATAAGGTATTCGCACAACCAATCGATATAGAAATTCTACAATTAGCATTGTTTCCGATGCGGAGCCGCGGAGGACTTAATGGGTTGCTGGAGCTCCTTACGCCTCACCCGGACGAGAGAAGTCATTGGATGATGTGTCATTAGATGATGGCCTCTCAAAAAAATCATTATTAACTTAAACCAATATAGTATACTTACGACGATTTTAACCAGTATGTTGTTAGCCCTATAATCACCGTGACACAGGTTACGTACAGATTCATTTTCAAAACAGACCGTGAATCGTTCTCCAATATTATCACAAAACTTCTCAACTCTTTTCTTGATTCCTTCGTCTATATTATCCAATGTTATATTAATGATATTTTGCGCAAGTTTGTGCCATTTTTCACCAGTTTTATACGGAATTTTCCTAATTTTTACTTGATCTTCAAAAAAGTCTGGTCTCTTTGCCTTTAGCACAAAGGAAAGCGCATGAAATTTAGCAAGTTCTTCAATAGCCATTTTTGCGAACTCTAATGATACGACGTCCATTCTATGACCAGTTTTGAAACCCTTTTTTGCTACATTCTCCATTATAATAATTTCTGCATCACTCTCTTCATAGCTTTTTACCGTTTTGTACCTTTCTTTAATTGGTAATCCATCCATCCATAAAATCCATTGTTTTTCGCTATGTTTGTGATACACTGATCAAGTTTATTTGAGATCTTATTTGGACAGATGTATTGTTTGTCAAGTTCGAAATGTTCAGAGCGTGCTTCGACCTGCATTTTAAATGAGAATGATGACACTATCTCAATGCCTAAAATAGCACTATACCTCCGTACAGTACTTGCGTATTATATAAATGCTAATAATTTTAAGGGGCTTGATACACTGGATTTGTAATATATTTTATCTTATTTTACTATTAGCAAATTTTATTCAAAATTTTCTGTCATTTGAAAGTTATGTCTATAGCTTGCATACATTTCGAATACACGGCTGCCGCAGTGCAGTGGTCAGGCGACCAGCTGCTGTGTAACGTGTTTCGTGTTTGATGCTCGCATGGAGCAGTACCTTACTTTTGTTGTTTCGGGTCTAGGTATGATGCAAATGTGCCATTGTAGAAACACCCATGACTCAAGAAAAATCGTAATGGGGGATAACCTTTATGTAAGGAGAAAAATGGATTAGATTTTCATAACGTTCACATAATAGGGTACATACCTAATTTTTATTTTAATGTCAGTCTGGTGTACGTGTCTAATGATTTAAAATAGATTATTTTAAATCATAATCTTTATGTATTTTTTATTTTCTTACAGAAATGAATACTTTCGACGATATATTGATTTGAAACGTCGCGTGACGTCATTTCTATGTACATTTTACTAAATACGTAGAAATGACGTTTTAGCCCCCACTTCTAAACTTTGGTTCGTTTTGTACTGTTTTATTATACGATAAAATAAAAAAAAATCTAATATTTTTTCATTACCAAACTTACGGACAAATCAGATTATTAAATTTCGTATCCTGTTGTTATCCCAATTGTAAGGATTGTTTTTTTTTTTTGGTAATAGGTGCTTAATAATAAATACGTATACCTACCGATGTATGTACCTTAATATGCCCACAGACTCCTCTACATAGCCTTATTTCACTACGCTATTTAAACAAATAAGGCTTATCAAACACTGACTAAATTTAAAAAAAGTATTTTTTTGTTTGTTCAGTCAATGTACAAATACTGATAAGATAAAAACGAAAAGTTTAGTATTTATATATTTATTCTAGAATTAGTACTACACTTAACTGGAATGTATCTTTTTGCTTTCTTAATTTACCTCTTTAGATTTCTAAAATAATATTATTAGGTTATTTCTATTTTTATTTTAGAGCAGCTGCGTAGATTTTTACGCATTTTTCTCCGGTCCTAATGGTTAAAAACTGTTTACATCTAGGTCATGGATGGTGAATAAGCTAAAAGGCCTACCCTTTAATAAGTAGTTAAAAGGGTATGCCTTTTACCATATTGACCATCCCATAAAATTTAGTTTAACCGGTACAGATTATAAAATCCTCGAAGGTCAGTATTAATAATTTCAAAATTATGAATATTAAGGTACACACAGCTAGTTCCATGCATGACAGCATGCTTCAGTTGAGCATTTGTCACTTTACTGCATGTGTGTCGGAATTTTGATCAATATTAGCATGCTCATTACAGGCATGTTTGCGAATCAATAGACGTTCGATTTTAACTTATAAGTAACTCTTCTCTAATTTGATTAAATAACTCAATAATTTAATTTAAGTAAAAACGCGGGTTACTCACGTGAATATACTGAGAAAAGTTTTTCAAGCAACAGAAGCACATTCAGTGAGCTGTGCGACGTCGCCGCGACCGCCTCATGAGGAAGAACCCCTCTGTGGTTCGAAACTAGTAGAGCTTTTCTCAGTATATTCACGTGACTAACCCGGGTTTTTACTTAATTTAGTATGTCTCACGATAGTTATTATAAAAACAACTCAGAAATTTGATCTATTTTAACTTCGTAACAGAAATATTCATTCATTATCACAGTATTACTATGATATCAAATACTACATCATGATAATTATAAAATCTGTTCATTCTGCAAATATTTTGATAGTATTATATGCAAGTAATGTTGCGTAGTATGTACCTATTAAAGCCTTCACAGATCTAGCTATAATATTCATATATTAACAGAAGGCATATTATCATATAACTTTAATATTTCTGAGTGACTACACAGCTATAAATTGTGTATACAATTATTTCTGTGACGTCACCAAAATATATTCACGAAATAATTATGGAATAGGAAGCAAACGAGCAGACGGATCACCTAGTAAGCGTTCAGCGTCGCCCATGGACAAAACGAGCAATACCTGAGGAACCACAAAAAGGAATAGAGGAATTTTTAAAAGGAATACGCTCTTTTCTTGATGGTTTGAAGGTCGTGTCGGTTCGAAAATACCGCCGACGATAATATAATTAATCATTCCACAGTTTTTGCTGTACGAGGTAGATTACATTATATTTTGTTATATTAATAAATTTAAATCAACACGGTCGCAGACCGAAAGTGTATATTATATTGTACCTACCTATGCCTTTAACGGCCTTCATGTACTCACACTTTTTCTTTGACATTTATCAACGAATGTTTTGCGTAAGGTAAGCATAGTATAATAATAGGTATACGTAAACATTAATAAATCTTACATCCATCATTATATCTTTTGTTAAAAATAAAGAGTGGTCCAATAAAATGATCTTCAATAATATATTTTTTATAATAATTAATCAAGTTCAACTGAAGTTATAATCAAATAGAGATAGATCTAGAAGGTGTATCTTCGATTCCAATATACTATTGAGTAATTTTCGGTTTTTGGAAAACTCAATCGTAGCAAGGAGGTAACAATAGTCCTAGAACTATATACATATTAAATGTTATGACCAAAGTTCACCTCATGATTAGTAAAAATTTAAAATTACGTTGTATATTTTGAAAATAATATTTCTCCTTATAGTGGCATACCAAATTATAAAAATGCAATTCAATATATAATACTTTATAAAGCTTTTAATATCCAATCTAAGAACTCTATTTTTGGAGATACTTACAAAGAAACGATTTCATAAGATTCAGAGGCATATAAATTGACATTTTTATATATCTACAATGAAATTATATGTATTTATAACAGAGCTAGCTAATGCCGCGTAGTTTCACCCGCACTGCTCGGCTTCTTTTGATTGTAGAGTGACGTTTTAGCCTTCCTCGATAAGTGAACTATCCAACGCAAAAAGAATATTTCAAATCGGACCAACAGTATTAACTATTAAATTAGCTATTCATAATTCAATAAATAAATATATTTCAATAAGTAGTCTGTATTTCCTGAAGGGAGAGCTGAGAGTCCGCATCATCGATTACCACCAGGCGAGATAGAGGTCAAACGTCGGCCTATCAAATATTTTAAAAAAAGTAGCGTAAAAACGCAAACGGTCAATCACCTCCAATAAAACAAATAAGCTCTTCAAACCACATTCATTGACTTGATAAATATTTACTCACATTTGTATATAAATAATAACTACGAGTATAATGGGTGATATTATAACCATTAATCTTTCAGCGAGTTGAGTTGATCCACTCGGTGTCAGTTCGAGCACGTTAGGCGTGGTACACCAATATTATTAAGTTATAATTATTGTGAAGGTACGTATGTAATTTTCCTGCAAGTCATATACCCAATTTTAGTTATGTATAGGCAAAGAGGTAGAATGTAGACGTATGTAGGTGCGTACAGCGCGACGCGTTATGCGCGCCTCAAAGAGCCGTCAGACCACCACGGATGATACCAATAGTGCTATTGCCGATATGGAGCCGCGGAGAACGTAACAGGTTACCGGGGCTCCAGCTCGAAGTGCAGGAGTAAGAACGGGGTGGTTTTTAGTCAGTTACAGTCTGATTCTCCCACCCGCCTCACCCGGGCGGGAGAAGTCATTCGATGATTTTTTGTGTGTGTATGGCAATACATTCAATTTCTATTTCATCATCATTCTGCTTTCAGATAGGCCAGGTGGAAGTAACTTGTATCCAACTGCCTGACGTCTTGTGCTATACTTGCCGATACGTGGCTTCCATTCAAGAACTTTTTATCCCATCGGCCGTCGTTTTTCCGAATAATATTCGCTACTATGCCAGTTTGCTACTATACCTTCTATTCCAGTTTATTATTCCACACTATATACAAGAAATAAGTGCTTAACAAGCTGTTGTTTGCCCAGGAAATAGCAGAAACATTCAAGAAGAAAAAATCTTTAGAGAAGTATCAATAATTTTAGAAAAACACGACGATATCGAAACATCTTGTGGTCAAGTGTATAACAGACGATCTGAAATCGCCTTACCATCTGACCTCTTCAAGGAACTACTCCGATGACGTATTTATCGACGCCATTTGCCGCACGTCGGTACTCTTATCGAGGAGTCAGTCGCAGACGTAAAACATATCCTTGTTTTACGAGACATAAACTATAAAGAGAATGTCATTTTGATTTATGTGGTGTTTTATAGTGTATTTTATAATTGCTGTCTAAAGTCTGGAGATTTGAACTAGACTTGTCAATTTTTATATTAAACCAACAATGTATTTTTTAAACGGGAGCGTCTACAAACATATTAGTTCACATACACATGACACCCAGACCCGGAAAACAATCTGTAGATCACATAAAGAGTTGCTCCGTGCGAGATAGAACCCGCGACACGTTACGCGGCATTCAGTTGCCTAACTACCGCACCATCCATGCAGCCCTTTCTTTTTTACGCAATGATAATATCTATACTACAAACTCTAATAAACATAATTACTATTAAGTAAATTGTGTTCAAGAGATCAATCTCTTTTGATTTTGTTTATCTTCAAAAATAAACAAAATCAAAAGACATTCAAACCTTTTTGCTACAAAACTATATTTTTCTTCCTCTAACTGAAAGCCTGACCCAAGACTTTTCACATACGCTTATCTTGTGCTGACTGAATCAGGCCTCGGGGTAAGCCACTCATGTGGGCATGGTAGCGTCTGTTCTTGAGTATCAAGATATACCATCGACAAACACTCTTAGCACATGAGATGAATTTAGCATACCTACGTGTCAAATTGTGGTAGGCAGAGCCAATGGAACTCTTAATGATACGTTTTTGGTATGCCTCGTTATTTTTTTCATTTGCATTCTTGGCATACCACTTTCATTACATCTACCTC